TATATAAACATTACCAAAATATAGAGCAAAATGTCACAATGTCAAAGTGAACACAATGTCAATGTTATAAATAATGACATTATAATGATGGCAATGGCCGTCGTGAAAATGTCATTCCTTTAATGTAATAAAAATGTATTATAATGTAAGGAAAGAATTTTACAATGTCGGAAAATGTCACAATGTCAAATAATGTTAAAGGTAATGTTAATTAAATGACATTTTAATAATGGTAACATCGATGCGGTAAAAATAACACATTGTAACAAAAATTATCAAAAAATGCTAATGATATATACGAAGTAAAAATTTGCATTGCTATTGTAGAAAAACATACATTGCTAACAATGTATTACAAAGTATAATATCAACAAAAATGTAACAATGTCAATAATGACAATGACAATGTCAACAACAAACTCTCAAAAAATGACATTGCAAAAATGACAATGTCAATGATTTAAAAATGACATTGTAATAATGACAATGTCATTTTCAATGCTATAAAAATGACATCATGACCTTGCCAAGAAGTGACATTGTTTTTCGACAATGACATTGAGATATGTGACAATGTTATATAAAAATGCCATTTCTATAAAAATAACATTGTAATGATGACAAATATCAAAATATCATTGACAATGTGACGTTGAGATATTAACATTGTGACATTATCAAGAAGTGTCATTCTGCTCTTTGATGACATTGAGATAGTCATGTATTGTCATTGTAAAAAATTGACAATGTCCGAAAACCATCACAATGTGGAAAACGTATGTCCAAAATCGTATCACAATGTCAAAAAATTGTTACAAATTTGACAACATCACTTTCATTGGCCCTATAAAACTATGTCATAATATTAAAACAAGTCATAATGCTGAAAATATGTTAGCACACACATTCTCACAAATATTGACTCCAACATTCACATCATTCCAATATATGTAATGACGCAATCAGGGGATACAAAATAGATATGGGAAATAGAGAGGAATATTAATTAAAATTAAAGTAAACCAAAAAAGGTGCATCGCAAAATGAAAGCCGTGCAAAAAATCAAGTATAGAACGTAACTCTGTATAACCATGGAACAAGCCAACAACAACGAAGAAGAAGGCACGAGGGGGAAAGAGAAGGACGATAGAAGAAAAAGCCTTCAGGTTCCAGGCGGCGCCCTATGGTCATCCCGTCGCCGCCACCCTATGGTTATCCCGTCACCGCCGCCGCGCGCAGATTGCTCTACAATCGGCCTTTCTCTGCCGCCGTCGTGCCACCATGTCATACCCCCGAGTCGCCACCACCCACCGCCACAGTGTCGCTGGTGCCCAGCACCAGGGACGGATCCAGGATTTCGAGTCAAGGGGGGGGGAATTTTTTCATTAGTGTAGGGAGTGAAAAAATTTCGCTAGTAAGCGGAACGGGAAAAAAATCGCTAGTGTAGCAAGGCGAATTTTTTCGCTAGTGTAGGGCTCTGTGGCTAATTTTTATTTAAAAAGTTCCATTAGTACATACTACATACACGATGGAAATTAAATCTATTATATTCTAATTCTAATTTTAGACAATGAAAATATAACTTTGATTTAATAACTACAAGTGCTCCAGAAAAAATATTGATACATTAAAGCTTAAGAAATGACAAATTAAAGAAAAATTATTTGAAAATAAGAAAGAATATGATATACGTAGTATAACATTTTATGATATTATTTGAAGGTAAAGTGGTTAAAGTTAAAGGTACACATCAACCAATGCTTTTTAAGTAACTTATGTCTTGTTTAACCACATGAATCTTAACAGGATAAAGAATTGGTTTTTGAATTGAGATTTTTGTCTACCAAGAAGGGTATTTGTGGGTCATGATGAGTTTTCTTAATATTACAATAGTATGTATGAGATTATTATACTTAGAATAATATGATACGTAGTAATGTTAATTCATATATATATGGTGCATATTAGATTTGTATTAATGCGAAAATAAGTTAAAGTATTATCTATTCAACAAATTGTTTTTAGAAAGTAAAAGGTAAATGAAATGTGTAATTTAATGTCAACAAACATTTATACTATTTAACTATTGTATCTGATATTCAATATCTTTTGATATCTTACAAAATCGAGTACTAATTATCTAATAAAGGTAATTAAACATTACAAAACTAAGAATTTTTTGGTACCCTAAGTCTTAAACAACGAGTTCTATTGTTTATTTGTTTAAGTTATGTAAATTATTTTATATTCTACTTCTTTTAAATCTCCAATTGAGCATTGCATTATGTGAGCCTATATATTAATTTTGAAAACTAAAAGTTAAGGGGGGCGAAAACATATATACCTAATTAAAGTATGAAAATTTTATGAAAATATTATATATATAGTAGAAAATTTTGGAAGTCCAAGGGGGGCGGTCGCCCCCCGCGCCCCCCCTTGGATCCGTCCCTGCCCAGCACCCTTCCCGTCGCCTTCCCTTCGCGTACGCGAGCATTTGACCGTCCATTCATAAGAGAGAGATTTGGATCCTTGCGTGAGAACTTCTGGAGTTCAGGACACTTTAGGCGCAAATAATGAATAAAGGGTAAATTTGGAATTCACGGAAAAAAATGGTCCTATTTAAGAGTTAAAAACTTCTAGGTCCTATTTGAGTATATACCAAGAGCTGTAGTCCTATATGGAACCATTTCTCAACTATATATTGATTGGGGTAAGATAGAGACTCATCTACTATTAATTTGGATACTCTAAGAAAGTACGTACTACTCCGTAACTTTTATTTATAAACCGATAATTATATGAACTTTGAATAAAAAATTATATATATACACACTACGTATATAAATAAAATATATTCTCACTCGTATTTCAATCTATTGTTTTAGAGAATATTACACGAAATAGGACTAAAAAGGTTTGGAAATTCGAAAATAGGACGGTCATGTTTTTATTTCTAAAATAGGACTAATTACGGTCATGTTTTGGCAGTACCAGACTTCAAACATGGCAGTATTTTCCAAACTTGACAGTAATTACTCCTATTTTGGAATTTTCAAATTGTTTTAGTCCTATTTTGGGAACTTTCCCATTGTTTTATATACGGAGGAGTAAAACTGAGTTAAAAACAATGAGGTACGATAATACAATTCAAATTCATTTATCACTACTATTAAACCATTAATTATAGTTCACCGCTTATCACTATTTAGACTCCTATAATCGTGCGTCACTCCTAATTTGGAGCTAAAAGATCTCCCTTTTTTAAAGTGATATAATTTTTGTGTTAATATTCTAATTTTCACAAAAAATATATCATAACTAATATTGCATATGTTAAAATAAAAAATATTATTGCATATGTTAAAATAAAAAATATCGTTATTTATTTTTTATAGTAAACTGAGTTAGAAATTCTATTTATTACTAAAAAAAAGTCTATTACCACTTCTACTAAAACATTTAAATTGTTTGCTATTCATTCTGTGTATCAACGCTCATTTGAAGAAAAAGAAGGAGAAAAGAATCTAAAAATTTGAACATTAAAACATTTAATTAGTTCGTAACGGAGATGGAACGACTAATGAATTAAAAAAGTTCAGAGAAAACATGTAAAAGTGTATCCTAAGAATCTATCTGTTACTCTTATTATTCTTATTGTTAACTCCGTATTACTTATACTTATTCTGTTCAGATCAGATCACACAAAAAAAGATAAATCAGATTAGACCAAGATATTCAAACCAGATCAGATTAAATCAGAAAATTTAAGATAAGATCAGATCACAAAGATTCATATCTATTGTAATATACGGAGTATATAGTAAAAAAACAATCAAGAAGAGCTGACATGTTACTCTATTATTGGTCTAAGGAAAATATATAGTATCACTATTCTAAAAGCACTTAATTAATTTCAGCTAATAATTATTTTAACTCACCATCTTATTCCAATTGAATGGTTTAATTTAACGGACCGTAAACAAACATAGAAATAGGACTCCATACACACATAGGAATTAATGTGCAATACCAACTACGACTCTATTTGTTTGAGTATAAATTGAATACCATTAGGAGATTATTATTATTATTATTATTATTATTATTATTATTATTATTATTATTATTATTATTATTACGGCTATTCATGAATTTTGAAGAAAAAATTGCATCACAAATTAAACAAAATGACTCCCGAGATGAATTAGCAACTTAACACTTTATTAGCAGGGAAAGTTCCCGAAATAGAACTAAAACAGTATGAAAATTCCAAAATAGAACTGTCATGTGTTTTATTTCCAAAATAGAAGTAATTACTGCCAAATTTGGAAAACACTGTCATGTTTGAAGTCTGGTACTACCAAAACATGACAGTAATTAGTCCTATTTTGTGAATAAAAACATGACAGTCCTATTTTGGAATTTTCAAACCTTTTTAATCCTATTTCGGGTAATGTTCTCTTATTAGCAACATAGACTAAGGATATTTTTATTAACAACTTAAAATTCACAAACCGAACAACGCCCTAACATATGCTCCGTATAATTGTGGAGTTATTTAACCTATTTCGAATAAAAAGTTGAAAGATCTTACAAATATTATCTATGTCAAATATAAAAAGTTACTAATTTTTTAAAAAAAGTCAAAAAGTCAAACATTTGTTTCATTAATTCATTTCGAAAAAAATCAAAACTGAACGAAAACATTTTAGCTTACACGATACAACTTTTTCGTTGCAATTCTAAAAATCAATATTTATAATTGCGGTGAATTAAAATTAGGGACATAATTAGCGAGTTTGACATTTGCAACGGTGAATTTACACTCAAATCATAATGTCGACATTATTTGTCCCCAGAATGCACACGTGGCACTTCCCTTCTTCTGGTCAAACACTGCATGGCTTTGCATGTCGCCATCTTACCACACCACTCGAATCCTACTCGGTCATGAATTCCAATTAAACTTTATCCGGCTGCCCTATATATTAACTGTTTCACGCAATCACGCCTTAGATTTTCCGCCGATTTTCCCACACCCTGTACAACAAGCGAATTAAGGTTTCATCCGTTTCGATCTCCGGCCATGAAGATGTTCTCAGCCAGGTTGTTTTTCATTCTTTTAATGATTCCGGTCCTACTCGTCTCCGCCGCCGAAGACTGCAGTGGTGACTCCGGTTACGACGGACGGGACCGGGTCGAGGCCCGGAACTTGAAGTTCATAGCGTTTGCTGCCATTCTTGCTGCGGGATTTCTGGGCGTCAATGTCCCGAACATCGGGAAGAAATTCCCGATGTTCCACCCGGACAGCAATTTGTTCTTCCTTGTGAAGGCGTTTGCCGCCGGCGTGATCTTAGCAACCGGATTCATCCACGTGCTCCCGGACGCTTTCGAGGCCCTCGGCAGCCCTTGCCTGCCGGAGAAGCCATGGAGCAAATTCCCCTTCCCTGCCTTCGTGGCAATGGTGGCCGCCTTAATCACGATGATGGTGGACTTGTTCGCGACGAGCTATTACAGTAAAGCCCAATCGGATAACAAGCCCAAGCCTGTTGACGAAGAAAGCCCGGCCCAGCCTCACGCACAATTGCCTATTCACACGCACGCGAGCCATGGGCATGCTCACGGTCCGGTTGAGCCTTCCGGCGGGTCTGATCTAACTACACGGCGGCGCGTCATCTCAATGGTATCTTTTTTACGAATTACTTCGTATAATCTTTTGATACTTTAATTAATGATGAATTTATTAAAAAGTTGACCCGTACTTATTAGTACGGAGTATTCATTCTTTACATAGTCTAATTATTCCCCGTAGTAAGTTAATTTAACATAGCATCAATTAATCAATAATGTTACGTACTGGAGTACTACGTCACTTAAAAAAAGATTTATTGTCTTTGTTCTGGTAAATAGCTTATTGTACGTTTACGGAGTATATATTGAATGAATCTAGCCTTAATTATTTTAGATGTAGATAGTAATATTTTATGACATTTGTATAGGTTCTGGAGATTGGGATTATTGTTCACTCGATAATTATTGGGATATCTTTGGGGGCATCTGTGGACACGGACACGATTAAGCCCCTACTAGTGGCGTTGGTTTTCCATCAACTCTTTGAAGGCATAGGACTCGGCGGGTGCATTGCTCAGGTATCTTTCACATCATATTAATATTTAGGATGTTTGGCTAGACTTATTTGAGTTCTAGCTTACACACGCTCTTTACGAGACATGAAAGTTTTAGTTCAACTAAAAAAAGTGGAAAAATTGCCCGAAATAAGACTATTTTATTTGGCATTAATTAGTCGTAACTAGTGAATGAGTACAAAACGACAATCCTGCTTTACAATTTTTAAACGTTTTTACTCTTATTTTGGGAATTTTAGAAAAGTTAATGCTCCCATCATATATAAGAGATTATGTATGTATGTATGTATGTATGTATGCATGCATGCATGTAGAAACGATCTCTATTAAAAAAGTTACTCCATATGGTACTATATATGGTATTAGTATTATATTATTATTATTATTATTATTATTATTATTATTATTATTACATTTGAGAGCCAATGCCAGAAAAAGGTTTTGGGGTGTAAAACAATCACTCCGTGTTTTAATGTAATAGTTGCTTATCTATGTTTAAAATAAAGGTTTTTTTAGAAAAAAAAACGCAGCCCCTTAAACGTTAACTATATTAGTAATTCTAGTTATAGTAATTTAATAAGTGTAATTTTTACACTTTAGCAACAATTACACTACACTCATAATAACGATAGTTATATTTTTGTAAACCGTACAGGCACAATACGCAAGACGTGCTACAATATTAATGGCATTATTCTTCTGCTTTACAACTCCAATCGGAATAGCAACTGGGTTCTGGATCTCAAGTAACTACAACGAAAACAGCCCCACGGCCCTAATTGTGGAGGGCTTGTTAAACTCGGCCTCAGCTGGGATTCTGATTTACATGGCCCTTGTAGACCTCATTGCAGCAGATTTCATGAGTGATAGACTTCAACGCAATTTAAAGCTTCAAATTGGAGCTAATACCTCACTTCTACTAGGAGCAGGCTTAATGTCACTCTTAGCCATTTGGGCATAAGCATTATTATATATACCAGAAAATTAGACATCTCTCTACATGATATAATTAAGAATAATTGTAATGATGAGAGATAAAAAAAAACTTACATCTCGTGACAAAAAGAGTATTTTGGGTAGAATTAGATAGACTCTTTTTGTGACGTTTAATTGATATAATTAGCTTAGGTTAAGTTTAATGTGATGTGGAGTACGTAGTTGTGTGGAATCGCCTCTTATATTTGCTAATGCATTTTTTATTACAGTAGTATATGTGTGCGTAAATCATAATGAATACTACATCCGTCCCGGTGGACTTTGCCAAGTGCAAAGTAGGTGAGAAATAAGAATAGTAAAAATTGTATGATTGAAATTTGTCCAAAGAAGAGAAAAATGTGCAGAACCATAAATTAGTTGTTTTAATAGGAAAGTGGCAAAGTTTTTTGGGACAACCAAATAACGAAAAGGAAAACATGATAGTAATAATCCCAACTATTGGCGGTCCGCTCATAATAATCCCAACTATTGATTATTATTACAGAATAATCCCAACTTTAAGGACCTTCCGTCAATAATGGTCCCTATGAATAAATTCTTGTAGTTTCTAAAGTGGATGAGATGAGATATAACAAGTAATCCCTATAAATACTCTCAACTTTTAATTTTTACGCTTAATTTCTATTTAAAATTTACTTTTTATAGAGGTAATATATGGTCATGGACCATTATTGGCGGATAGTCTATATAGTTGGGATTATACAAAAATAATCAATAGTTGGGATTATTTTCAGCGGACCGGCAATAGTTGGGATTATTATTTTCAATTTTTCCTAAAGAAAATTGGCAAACTCCAATGGGACGGAGGGAGTATTTGGTTTGAGACTTTATTTGAGTATTATATTGGCTACTAAGTACCGTATGTGACATAAAAGCAGGCATAGATGTGTCGAATTATTCCAATATGATCTACTGCTCTACAATTTAATACTAAGAATTTTGGTCGTTAAAAATCTGATGCCTGACGATGAATTTACCTACTAAAAATATAGTGCTGGCATATGCATAATGCATTAAAAACTATATTTAGGGTACTTTTTATAGTACGATGTATCGTAAGTTACGAACCCCATTAAAAAAGCATATTTAGGGTACTTTTTAATTTATACGTAGTAGTAACCCCATTAAAAAAGCACTACGTATATTCTTGCCAATGCAATTCATCCAAAAGGATACGTACGTAAAGAGCGCGAATACGGACAATTTTTCTTGGCCTTCAATTTTTCATTTGTGCAAGGCCCGGGTTGTCTTCTAAGAGCATCTTTAGTTTTAGTGGTATATAGATTGCAACCCACAAAAAAATGGACATATAATTGGTATAAACGGCCCATGGATCTAATATGGACGGACATCCATTTACAAGCACGTTGCATCTCCAATGGTATCTATTTGTTCCACTATTCTATAAATAATACTACGTACTCCTTAACATTTAAATTAATTACTCCGTAATCTGCCTAGCCGAAGCATATAAAGCCAAGAGAATAAAGTACTTGGACTTGGCTGACTTGGCTGTTTGATAACCTTGTTGAAACTAGAAGGCCGGGTAGACAGTCGCTCCAGTTTTTAATTCCAACTCAGCAATGCCGGAAGAATGCACGTTTCCGTTGGAGTAAGGATGTTTATCTCATTGTCTCTATACCTGACGTGGCAATTCATTTTCTAAGGATCCACACCCCTACTACGCATGCTCTAAATAGTGTGATTGTACATAGCTTAGGCCTTAGGTCATGAATCCGGTTCAAAAATACAACCCACCGCTCATGAACCGGAACTTGAACCGTACATAAGAGCACCAAAACGAAACTAGCAACCCAATCGTACACTTGGTAGCACATACTTTCCACTTACTACCTCCGTCCCAATTTACTTAGTCTCTTTGACTTTTAAGTAAAAACTGATAAATTTTGATCAATTATTTTAACTTATATATATGCAAAATTTAATAATTTATACTTTTGTAATGGTATTTTTAACAAATAATAATTTCATATCATTTCCATATTATCAATATTTTCTCTATATAAACATATAATCGATCAAAGTTAGACGCCATTGACTTGAAAAGTCAAGTTTGGCTAATTAAAATGGGACGGAGGGAGTATAATAAACCTATTGTCACATGCGTAATTTTTGATTTCGTGCGTTAAATTGTGTAATAATAAAAGTAAGTAAAGTTGGAGATACTTTTGAGGTTGAATTGACCGGAATCCATTTAGCCAACTATTTGAACTATTAAGTTTTCCGGAAATTTAGGAATAGACTTTTCCAGAGCTGGCCAAAACCAAATGAGACCATGTCCACTTGACTCATTAGTCTCTATATGTAATTTTCTTCCCACAATGGCTAAATACAAATTGAACGGAAATTTGATGGTCTGGTCTGGTCTGGTGTGATCTGTTCAAGTCTGATCTGATCTGGTAAAAGAGTAATTAGAAAGGAATCAAATTTCTACCCAAATAGTCTATATTTCACTCGAAATCTATATATATATAAAAGCACAATCGTGACTACAACTTGAACAAATCTGGCCTTTGATGTATTACACGTGTCAGAAATCAGAATATAGTGAGTTAAAAAAAATCACGTCCCACATTCCTTGCTATTCTCATAACGAAACACATGGCAATTGTGGAACAGTTACATCACAATCATGCACGACCATCATGGCATATCCAGAGCAGTTTTCACCAACCCAAGCATTATATATATCCTGCATCACACAACGTTAAACCATCAAACTCAAGCAGACGAATTGCAGTATATTACTCACTTTCTGATATATAGTTTTAGGAATAATTACTAGAAAAAGTGAATTTTATTCTATTAGCTAACTTTCTAACTTGCAGATAGTTGAAGACAACCAAGGCTGAAGATGTTCAACAGGATTCAGGAACTCAACACATCAAAGACAAACTGGGCATTGCGGGTCAGACTGGTGCGTTTTTATCCAGTCCCAGTTTTTACAAACAAAAACGTGATCAACACCATGGAGTGTGTGTTTCATGATCAGGAGGTAATCGATTTTTTCTTGCACCTCACAGTTTAATTTTGAAGCAAACTGAATTGGTTTTTACTTATTCAGGGCAACAGAGTTCATGCCACCATTCGCAGGGAAAGGCTTGGAGCTTTTAAGGAACGCATAAAAGAAGGAAACGTTTACATCTTGAGAAATTTTGTTGTCACTCCTAATTCAATGAAATACAGGACAACAAATTGCGCATTTAACATCATTTTCAACCACAGGACAACATTGGTTGACAATGATGTTGAATTCCCAAGGATGATGTTCAATTTCAAACCCTTTCTGGACCTTCAATACGCAAACCAAGTTGACTTAACAGAGATGTTTGGTATAATTTTCTGTATTTATATTTATTTAGTTGTCACATTTAAAAAAGCTTTTTAATATTTAACTAACAATTGGGTGCACAGATATCATAGGGAGCGTGAGGTCTATCCACTTCCCTAGGCCACGCGAACGTGATGGAGCAACACAAAAATTGGTTGAATTGGTTTTGGAAGACACAAAGTATGCTGTATCATTCCAGTTTCACAAAAATAGTTTTATGTTTTTATTTATACAAATACACTTATGAATTGTTTACTCTATATATCAATATATGAAAAATAATACCTCTTAATTTAAAATTTTACAAACCTACTACAGCCAACGAAGTATCAGGTGCACCGTGTGGGCAGATTTTGTTGACGCAATAAGGCATGGGGTAGAAAAGACACCAAACTTTATGATTGTCGTGGTTCTAATGGTTCACCCAAGACTATACAAAGGAGATGTGTACATGACCAATAGTTACAATGGGTCCAGGCTAATTATCAATGGCTCAGATCAAGAGATCTTGGACTACAAAGACAGGTTACTATGATAAAATGTGCATTACATAATATGCAGTGTAACTTAAAATGTAAGTTAATGATAGCCTGTATTAAGACTGCCGCACTTATAGGTTTGACTTGCATGGAGATGAAGGCTACAACGGTCAACCTATTGTGGTGACAACAGAAGATGAGGAGCAAGGTTCAGGAGAAGGAGATTTTGTGACGATTGAATCACTGTTTCAAGAAAACTTGGTAGTTTTTTAAAATTCTTTTCTATGATTTTTTTATAGATTCCAAAGAACTAATGGCAGTTGTAAACATATCTTAGAGTGGACGATTTTGGGTCACTGGAGAAATTATTGATATTGAAACCGGAGATGGATGGTATTTAGCTTGCAGAGATTGTGCCAGAAAAGTGGCACCCAGATGTGGCCGTTTTGAATGTCTCAATCCAGCATGTAAAACCCGACATGATGCAGTGATGAGGTTTGCTATTTAAAACTTCAAATTTGGGCCTATTTATACAGCTTCCTCATTCTTAGAAAAAGTGATAACTCCAAATATATATAAACAAATATAGAATATAGATACAAAGTCAAGATTAGAATTATGGACAAAACAGCAAATGCTGCATTCATCCTATGGGATACTGCTTGCCAAGAACTATTCGGGAAAAAGGCAGCTACCATCGTTGGGGACATGGTATGAAAGATTAGTTTTGACTTTTTATTACGTACATTTGAACATTCCTACAAGGAATTTTAAGAGTACTTTTTAAACAGAAAGGGGAAGATGGTTTTCCTTTGGAAATATTAAACTTGATAGAAAAGAAAGTGATTTGTTTGGCTCAAGTGCAAAACGATAGCACCAAAAGGGGTGAAGTTGCTTTTAGTGTTCAGAAGATTAAACTTGAAAAAGATATCAATGCACAGGAACCTGGGGAATCTTCACATGCTAAGGTGCTATAAAAAACTTATTTACCTACATTTTAATTAAAAAAACACTTTTCTTACTTTGTTACAAAATATAGGAGTTGGAGGCAACATCTCAAGAGAAGAACGAGAAAGGCAAAGAAAAATATGAAGAGCCTATTGATCTGACTGTGAACGAGACTGTAGCAACTAATGATGAGAATATCACAAGTGGGAAGAGAGGTGGGGAGATGGTGGGGAGATGGTGACAGAAACACTTAAGGATATGGTTAAGAGAAACAAAAGGGCTATTCAAGTGAAGATCGAGAAGTGCTGAACAAAGGAACTACATGCCTACACAAGCTTATGTCTGCAATTATGTTATTCTAATTAGTATCTATCAGTGTTTTTTAAGCTTTGCCTAAGTGTTCACAGAAACACATAATGTCTCAAACCTTTAGGATTTCCCAAATTTGTTTGACCTAAATGTGTTCTTAAACAATGTTCTTCTCTATGTTTGGACCAATGTATATATGAAATGCAGTGTTTTTTCGAATTAAGTATTACTGTTCTTAATAATCTATGTCCAATGGTGACTGTTTCGAATTTAGTGAGATGATTTGTTATGATGAACTTGAACATGTACGACTAATATATTTTAATAGCAAATTTAAAGCCATTTATGAAAGTTGGTAAGGCTGTTATAAGTAAATTGAAGAAAAGATGAGAAAATACCTGAAACCTTCAGCAAATAACTACCTGCAACCCTATGCTAATATTATTACATACATAGGCAACCCATATGGGTCCCCAGAACCTAAGTTTACATTTTTAATACGCTACAAAAAAAAACACGCTGAATGAGCACCTGCATTGTGAAATAAAAAAAAAAGATGAAATTATTATACGAATAGTGTTAATACTAAGTGATCCCGTAGTTAATTGATAAGAAGTAACATTTATACAACATGTTACAAAATACAATATGATTTATAAAATATATCTTAAATAAAATAGTACTCTAAAAAGTGGTGAGTTACACATTATGTAATTGTTTAATTATACAAATAGAGTAGTCAGAAAATGCAATATCAATAAGATTGTTGTTTATAATGTACGTAGGAGATTTTACTTATTAATCCAATGAGAAAGAATAATAAGGAAAATGTACGTTGCAGACTTGCAGTTACTGCATTGTGAATGATTTGCAAGTCAGAGATAACTGTACGCAGATCTTTTTTATTCAAGAAAATAGTGATTTCAAGTAACTGTACGTACTAATTTTTTTAAATGATAACAGTTGCTACTTATTTGATAGTGGCTTGGTGGTTGGAGACATTTACGTCACACGTCAAGCACTTTTTTAGGAATTTCAATAGTGCTCTAAGAAGCTCATCTAAGGTTGACTATTCAACCAAACAAATCTTAAATACATAGATCTCTAAAACAACGTCTGGTACTTTATACACCCTTAGTTTAAATTTAAAAATATTTCTTTAATTTCTTTATAACATAGTAAGATTCATTCGGTTTATGCCTATGAACAAGAATAAGATGGAAATTCGAGAACATTTGACAAATTCAAGTACAAGGAAGAGCATCGGAAACAAGCGCTCCGGAAGCAATACTCCAGGTACCATTCAATCTATTACAAAACTATTGTGTATTTATCTTTTACGACTTTCAAAATTGTTAGACTTAGAAAGAGTTGAACAAGCTATAAGGTGTAGATTATATAATTTATTTCTGTTTAAAGTTGAAACTGATGATAAATATAACTGATTCTATATTTGCACTCTGCCGGGCCTGGACTGTTGGATTATACAAATTAATATGTATGTATCTTTATTAACGGAATAATTGCTTAAATAGAACACTTCCAAACACTGTTTAAAGCATTAAGTGCTAAAATTGAGAAATCTAAGTTTTACTTGGCAGCCCATAGTAGTACAAAGATATACTTGAAGAGATTAATGGTATCAAATAAATAAATAAAAATGTGAAGATTAAAATAATAATTTTTAAAATATATACAAAAAAGTTTGGAAAAACTTATCTCATTCAAGGCTGTTAATTATACAGATCATGTACCCAGTTTGTTTTTATGTACGAGCTTCGACAGATAGACATAAAAAGTAATTAATTGAGCATATAGAAGTGTACTTTGGGTTATTTTAGAAAACAGGTTAGTGAAAGTAAAGGATTTATATCAACCTATAAATTTTTTAATCAAAACTTCAGGAATTTTAGGGATCTCTTTGCTGTTAATTATACAGATCATGTATCCCCTTTGTTTTTTATGTATGTGTTTCTATTATGAACTCAAAAAAAAAAAAATGAGCATATAGAAGTGTACTTTGGGTTATTTTAGAAAACAGGTTAGTGAAAGTAAGGGATTTATATCAACCTATAAGCTTTTTAATCAAAAGTTCAGGAATTGTAGGGATCAATCTGCTTTGTTGTGCTTTCACTTCCACAGTAGACAAACCTGAAAATGGTACAAGGTACAATGATAAGAAAACCAAGTATTTCTTAACAGCCATCAATAATAAGATAAACTTCAGATTGACTTCATAAAAAAGGTATCTTATGCTTACAGAAATAGCATTTTCACCCTCATTTTAAAAGTCACAAATGCATTTTATGAACTGGGGTAGTTTCTTAAACTCATACAAGAAAGGGGGGGTTCTATGCATTCACAATAAGAACACTTCAACTTATTCCCTATCACCTTTAAAAATGTGACTGACAGATTGACAAAGTTAAAACATGCTCCGTATAATACTACTAAACAAGCTACAAAGATGAGGAAGTTTCTTCTTAGCATCACACCACAAACATAGAAATCTGGATTCGAATTTAACTACCAAAGTTAAATTTAACCACAAGTACCACACCCCTTCTTAGCAAACTGAACTACTAAAGCTACTAAAGCTTGAGACAACAAATTTATGTATGTGCTGCTAATTCGAGAACAATCTGCAGCAGGGCATTCATTCTTAAACTCATATAAGAAAAGATACACAAAAAGTTTGAAAAACTTATCTCATTCTAGACAGCTGATATCTCAGAACATGTACCCAGTTTGTTTTTTATGTATGAGCTGTGATAAATGGACATAAGAAGAAATCAGTTCATCAGGATTTATTATTAAGACTACATCTATAACAATACAATGAATTAAGAAATAAGATCTGTAAATACATACAAAAAGTTTGGAAAAACTCATCTCTATTCTTAATATATTTAGTGCACTTTCCATGTTACCATGTATAGGTATTCTGAGAATTTAGTGTATTGCTTTTGTATGATATGCTTTTATAATAAAAAGCATACATTCTGGAAAATATACTTATACGTGAATCTAACATATGCAAAAAAAGATTTAGATTAATCATAATTCCTATTTAAAATGCCAAAACTGTTGAAAAAAGATTTGGAAGCATCATTTAAACAGAATAGTATTTTAAAGATTTCAATTGATTTGTTCGTTTGAAAAGAGTTTGACTAAATTGAACATAACAACAATCTTTGGTTAGACTGCTCCAACAAATACAAAAAAAACATATATACTAATTTATAATAACAACTAAAATATATGTAAAAGTGCCAGATATGAAATACTTATCTCATTCCAGTGGAAAGTTTTCTCAGAGCATGTCCCAGCTTCTTCTAGATGTATGAGCTTCAAAAATAGACATAAGAAAAAATTAGTTAATAAGGATTTATTATAAAAACTATACTCCGTATTTACAACAATACGATAGATTAACAAAAGAGGTTGGAAAATTAGCAAAACATGTCAACAGTATTTTTACTAAAATTAAAGTATTTAGTTTATTAATAACATACTCAAATATTTAATTGATGATTTACAGTATATATAGGACAATATGGTTGTTAAATTTAGAAAAAATCACTATATTTGAGAAAAAAAGTTTGATGAAAACTTATCTCAAACTAATCGGCCATATACTTTTTTTAAAATACGCATTAATATAACACCTAAATAAATTTAAAGAACCATCAGATCTGAAAATATAAACACAAAAAAGTTTGGAAAAACTTATCTCATGCAAGGCGGTTGATTTCTCAGAGAATGCACCCAGCTTCCTTTCGATCTATATAAGCTGTGACAGATAGACGTAATAAGAAATCAGTTCATACGGATTTATCATCAAAACTATATCTATAACAATACAGTGAAATAACAAATAAGGTTGGAAAATAAACCAAAAAACAAGAGTAATTTTAAAAAAATGAAACATATCTGACTGGGAGAATGTACCTACGGTGTGGCTAATCAGCACCGGCCTCACCTTCTTCCATCGATGGCAAATTGACCGAAACTATCTTCCTCTGTGGACCTCGAATTAACTGTGAAGAACACCAAGAGTTGAAGAGAACATCGGTATTGTGTGGAAGGAGTCGTAAATGAAGGGTACAGATTAGGGAGAGGGATGAAGGATACGAACAAGTTGGCTGAAGCTTCTAGCAAGACTCTTTCGGACAGGCAGCGTATATATAGGGTGGAATAGGGTTTTTTTAAACAGTTGGGCCAAAGTTGTGTGGGCTAAGCACAAAATGGGTAAAGGAACTTAAAAACAGCCCACGAAAAAATGGAAAGTTAGGATGTTTTTACTTGGACTGTAATTTGTCCCAGACCAGACCAGTTTAGATCAGACCAGATCATACTTCGATAGTTATAAAAATACAAAGAAACCAGACATTACCAGACCAGACCAGACCAGTCCAGACCAGACCAGATCAGACCAGACCAGACTAGATCAGCAAATAACAGTCCAAGTAAAAACAACCTTAATAATTATCATATGATCTGGCCCACCCCAAATAAATACTTCTCACTATTTATAATTAGGAGCCCATTTGCTAATTTTGTTTTTCGTGTTATTAGGCTAATCAGCCAACTTTTTTACTATATATGTAATTTTTTATATCATGCGCTAAATTGTACAATAATAAAAAAATATAGTTATAATTATTTTTCTGACTATGTTAACTGACATTACTGTAAAAGGTCATTTTAG